CCATTGATGACCGGGTTTTGACTGATCATTGATGAGGGGTGTTTACTCCCATTGATGACCGGTTTTGACTGGTCATCGATGGGGGGTGTTTACTCCCATTGATGACCGGTCAAAACCGGACATCAATGGGAGTAAGCACGCATTGATGGGAGTGTTTCCTCCCATCAATGACCGGGTTTGACTGGCCATTGATGGGGGTGTTTACCCCCATCAAGGTGAAAACCGGTCCTTGATGGGGGTGTTTACTCCCATTGATGACCGGTTTTGACCGGTCATCAATGGGGGTGTTTGGGGGGGGGGGGGGTTACTCCCAGTCAAAACTGGTCATCGCTGGGGGTGTTTACTCCCATCAATGACCAGTCAAAACGGTAATTGATGGGGGTGTTTGGGGGAGTTGACTCCCATAAATGACCGGTTTTGACCAGTCATGGTGTTTTGGGGGACTTTCCTCCCATCGATCACTGGTCAAAACCGGTCATTGCTGGGGGTGTTTAATCCCATCGGTGACTGGTCATCAATGGGGGTGTTTGGGGGGGTTGACTCCCATCAAGGACCGTTCAAAACCGGTCCTTGATGGGAGTGTGTCCTCCCATTGATGACCAGTGTCATAAATGGTCATCAATGGGAGGACTGTATGGCCAAATTGGCTGATGAATTCATTTTTTTTTCATTTTTAATTTTTTTTGGCCAAAGTGGCGGTTCAGTACCTCCATACACTATGGATAATAGAATAGGCATGATATAGCATTTTTTAGGTTTTTTATGAGTTGATTGATGAGGCATAATAATAACAAAAAAACAGTGAAATTTGTTGAATTCACTGAAGACTGCCAAAAATGAAAAAAGGAACAGTGATTTGTGAAAAAAGCAATGGTGATTGGCAATTAACTGATCAATGAGTCTAAAAAATGAAAAAAGAGACAGGGATTTCTGTTTCATTGACTGATGAGAGTAGAAAAGGAAAAATTGATGATTTGTTGGACAGCAAACAACACAAGTGGGCATGTGAAGTTACAACAACAGTGGGCCGCTACGCTACACTACGCTATTTGACCACTAACTGTTAGTGTAGTGGTCTTTTTATTTCCTGGAAATTCTGTAGTGTTAGCTGACGCTAAACCCCACTACGCTAACTGTTAGTGTAGTGTAAATTTTTCTCTCAAATTTTTTGGTAGTGTTAGCTTCAAATAAACTCAGCTAAACTAGCAGTTAGTGTAACTGATTTGAAGCTAACATTTAGTGTAACTTATAACAAATTAATCTACGCTACACTACACTACATGCCTAGTTACGCTACGCTACAGTAGAAGTTACACTACACATGTAGCGTAGTGTAACTCATCAATCAGAGAAATTGATGTGTCAAGCTGGATTTTTGCACAACTTATGTGAAATGTTCATATGACTGATACGGCCGAGGTCCACGGTGACGATTTTCAATGTCCCGTGATCGCACACAATCCCGCAGAAAATGAACAGCACAAGATGTGGAGAAAAACAAACTGAGGATGTGTCTGGTGAGATTTGAACTCACAACCTCAGCAATGCTGAGTCACATACCAGAGTGCTTCCTTTACCAACTAGGCTACAGATGCTTGTGTTTGCCAGGTCAGTTGGGTGGTAGTTGTCATGGCCCAAGCCAAAAGCTCCACCACACTCTGGTGATACATAATGGTATCAAACTATCATACACCTCAACACCCCCTTCCCCCCCTTGGTGCATGATGTGAAAGTGGAAATTGAACACAAGTAAGTGTGGGGAATTGAACCCATGGTCTTAAGGTAGTCTGACAGGGGAATGTGGTCTTACAAGTAAGTGCAAAAAAATGGCAGGGGGCTAAAATTGAGTGGCCCCCATTACCAACTGAAAAAAAATGATGATCAATTGAGGGGATCTGTATGTAGGCCCCCCAATCAGGCACTGTCTTCAGGGTAGACTAGCACTAGTCATGTGGTCATGTAACTACATAGTCAGTTACGCTAACAGTTAGTGTAACTTTTAATCAGTTACACTAACAGTTAGTGTAACTTTTTCACCAGTTACACTAACAGTTAGTGTAACTGAGGGTACCACTACACTAACTGTTAGTGTAACTGGTGAAAAAGTTATACTAACATGTAGTGTAGTGGGTTCACCCACTAACACCGCTAAAATTTCACTAACAGGATTTTGGGTAGTGTTAGTTGTGCCTTTTTAAAGGTAGCTAACACTAAGCTAAAGTTGTTTTTTTGTTTTTCAAAAATCCTGTAGTGTTAGTGGGCCAAAAATTCCCGCTAACAGTAACTTTTGTGTAGCGTAGCTTAAAAAGCTAACACTACGCTACACTAACACTACGGTTAGTGTAACTGGCCCACCATTGGTTACAAAAGCCTAAGAATTTGTTCAATCTCATTGGTCCCTTTGCCTACATTCATCATCTGCTCCGCTAATTTCACATGTTGTAATTTGTCACTACATTCATTCTTGTATCTTTCCTTCTCCCACATGAACAGTACCCCAGCTTTCTTCGACTCAGTCTGATAGCGAGAATTCTCTCTTTGGGCCTCACGCTCCCATCTCTCGTCTTTGTGTTTCACCAATTGTTACTCTCTTTCAAACTCCTTCTGAGTTTGAAGGTTGAATTTCTCCCTTTCCCAAGCCATCTGTTTGGCCATGTGATCAGGCATTTGATCAAATTTAAACTGACTTTGTTTTCTCAAATTCACCTGCCAATGACAACTTTGATTTACTTCCCCTCACATTCCTTGGAGCCGCAGGAACACTACTCTAGGGTCTTACACATTTGGATATTGTCTCCTGCTTGCTCCCGACTGGGAAGAATCATTCTCGTCTGTGTATTGCTCACCTGTGTCAATTAAATTCTTCGGCTTCAAGCCGAAGAAAAAACCGGCAACATCTTCCGCTTGAAGCCGAAGCTTCTGCTGGGCTGGGTGAGCTGCTCTGAGCTGGCTCACCCAGCAGACTAGATTTCCAAAATCAAAACCAGAGACAAAGTCTCTGTAGTTCAATGGTTTGCACTGGCCCCAGAATCTGCCCACCCATTAGGTTGTGGGTTCAAATCCCACTGGCCCCATCCCCTAATGGGGGTTAGGGGGCAGGTTTTTGGGGGCAGGTTTTTGGGGGTTAGGTTTAGGGGGTTAGGTTTAGGGGGTTAGGGTTAGGGGGTTAGGGTTAGGGGGTTAGGGTTAGGGGGTTAGGGTTAGGGGGTTAGGGTTAGGGGGTTAGGGTTAGGGTTAGGGGTTAGGGTTAGGGTTAGGGGTTAGGGGTTAGGGGTTAGGGTTAGGGGTTAGGGTTTAGGGTTTAGGGTTTAGGGTTTAGGGTTTAGGGTTTAGGGTTTAGGGTTTAGGGTTTAGGGTTTTAGGGTTTAAGGGGTTAGGGGTTTAGGGGTTAAGGGTTTAGGGTTTAGGGTTAGGGGTTAAGCGTTTAAAGGGTTAAGCGGGGTAGGGGCTTGTTTATCGAACAAAAAAGGGCCGGAAACCTTTTTTTTTGCAGTTTTGTACCCATAGTCCCCCAGGCTTAACCCAGTCTCAAACCCAGCCCACCCAGCTCAGCCTTGCCTTCGGCTTCAAGCCAATGATAATGACACCATTATCTTCGGCTTGAAGCCGAAGGTTTTAATTGACAAAACTCGTATTGCTGACCATATCTCTGCAAAGATCATGAGGCTGTTTGTGATACTTGAGCCTATTCATCACCAACATAGAACATATTATATCAGACAATTGTCTCATTCCATCAGCATCTTCAAGTGCATTCACTGAACTCACAATTTCAACTTGATGGTTAGTCTTGTCTCCTGAAGTGTTCTGTCCCACATCATCCAGAATAGTATCTAGCCAAATGCCAACCTTTCAGCGACACACAATTTTGACAAATATGACAAATAAAAGAAACTTCATGCTTACCTAAATTGGGAATGACTTCATCTACCTGAACCATTTGACTATCATCAACAGTCCCCTCATGTCCGGTCACCTCTTTGTGCCCCTGGTCCTCACTTTTGCCAGAAACTGACCGCAAGTTACTGTATAAGTCCCTCCCATCCACCAAATAATATTGCATACATGGAGTCACATTTGGCTTACTGAAAAATATAGCCTCCATCTGTTCTTAGCAGGGACACTTTGCTTCAAGTATCTCTGCTAGCGTTCCTGGCCTGTCCTTGGCCTCAATTCATGCACCCGTGTTTTTGGAAAACTTCTTAGCTTGAGCAATTTTTTTGTACCAATTGACTTGTTGGCGAAGTTGAGCCCTGGTTAAACTGCAATGCTTGTTACAGTGGCTATTCATGTACATGGAAAACATATTGTACGCAGCAGACTTGGTCAGAGCATGAGGGCCAACCGCAGTTTGCTCACCGCTGCCATACAGTTGAGCAAAGTTCTCATCATCTTCCAAGTAAGAACAAACAAGTTTGTAGTCATCATGCATAAACACCATATTTGAATTGTTCACCAAACATGACTGCAATGACAATTGATTTGATTGAGAGGCCCCACGTCCACTTTGCTGCTTCCCTGATGGAGCTGAACTCGCCTGTCCTTTTTCCAGTTCTTGAATCTTCTTTCTTTGTTCCTACTCTTTCTTCTTTCTTTCTTTTTTTTCTATCTCTCCCGTTACTTCTTGATGGGACTGGAGTTGGTGGTGTTTTGGTATCAGAAGAGCCAGTTTGCAGAGAGGGGTCTAGGTTGGTGTTTGGATCCATCACAGGTTGGGGGGGGGTTGAGTGCTCTGGGTGAGAGATGGGGTTGAGTGGTCTGGGAGAGAGATTAGGTTGAGTGGTCTGGGAGAGAGATCAGGTTGAGTGGATGCCAATGTGGAGGTGGTGCAAGAAGCGTTGAAATGTTTGCCTTGTGAGTTTCTTGCTAAAATACGTGTGCAAGCAATAAAAAAAAGGGCTGGGAAAAACAACTCCCAAATTTTAGTCGCCGACTCCCAAATACGGTCGTCCAACGTCGAATGGGAGTCGTTTTTCCAAATGGATGGCCGACTTTGGGAGTCGGCCATCCAATGATGTTTATTTTTTTTAATATTTTTTTTGCATTTTTGGGAGTCGGATCCCCAAACCACCCCTCATGCTTGAGGGGATTTGGGAGTCGCTCCCACATGACCGGAAGGAAATCCTTCCGGTCAATAAGAAGCAACAATACCATTGACCGGAAGTGATTCCTTCCGGTCGATGGGGCTGTTACACCTCACCAACCGGAAGGGATTCCTTCCAGTTGATGAGGTTGTTACACCTCATCAACCGGAAGGAACACTTTCCTGTTGATGAGGTTGTTCACCCTCATCAATCGAAAGGAATCTCTTCCGGTCCTCATCAATCAGAAGGGATTCCTTCCGATCGAGTAGGTGTAACAACCTCATCTACCAGAAGGGATCCTTCCCAATGACCGGAGGGAATCCCCCCCGGCCAGTGGGAGGCAGGCGACTCCCAAACCTCCCACTTCCCAAGGAGGGTTTTGGGCGCTGACTCCCACCCAAAAAAATAAATTTTAATAAAAAAAAATTGGGAAGTCAACTCCCAATCCCCCAGGGGGAATTGGAAAGACGACTCCCGTCCGACGACCCCTCGACCAAAATGGGAGTCGTCAGCAAATTTTAGGGAGTCGTTTTTCCAACCCCCTAAAAAAATTTAGGGGTGCGAGAAGCAAGAATTGCTATCATGAACCCAGCAAATTCAGGACCAAACCAAGGGCCCCTGCCACATCCAGAGACCAACAACTGACTTGAGGTTCACCATTGGGGTTGAGATCGGCTCAGTCAATGGTCATGAAGTTCCAAGACAGAGCAAAACGGTTCAGCAGGTCATCAAAGGTCCTGACATCAATACCCATGGTTGTGATGAAAGCCCAATTGCTGACTTCCACAAGGCAGCCCAGGCACTGTAAGCCAATGGAATAGTCAGGAGATTGGCTCAGGTTAAATATGTCCGTAATTGTAGGAACTGACTGGGAGTCCCAAAGTACGCCATGGCCATGAATAACATGACAGCATCCTCAATCTCTTGGTTTTTGTTGGCGGAGTCCTGGGAAAAAAGAGACTCAAGTGTCCGTTGCCAGACATCTTGCTCCAACTGGTGATGCAGATGGGTGATGCAAAGTTGATGTTGCTGCGCCAATAAGACTACCTGGGAGTTTATCATGGTTAAAGCTATAATTCATGATATATCAGCGCATCTTGATGTGGCAATTAGGAAAGAGATGTGTAACTTACAATAATCGCCTTGATGTATTGCGGATTCTGGAAGCTGGAGGCTGCACGTAAAGGATCAATGTGAATTGGATTGTATATGTGAGGTTGGGAGATGAGAAGATTGTTTGTCAAGGTTGATGCTAAGCAGGCGATTGAGGATTACAAGGAGGAGGTGTAAATTTACAAAGTGAGGACAACGGAAGCACATATTTAGACTTCTAGAGTTATGCTTTGTAAAAAAAATCTGCAAGCCCCGAAGATCCGACAGGAAGCCCTCCAATGATAGTAAAGAAACAAAATATTGTGATAGGGAAAAAAGTACAACAAAGCAAAACATGAGACTTCTTAAATATTAATTCTAGTTACAAGACTTTGCTTTTCCAATGGCCCTTTTGATCCTTGGATCTGCTTGATCCAGCCAAGATCCCCGGTCTTGCCTGACAAGAATTAAGGTTCATTCACAATCTGAATTCTATACAAAGAGTTAACTTAATCCAAAAGAGACATAATGTTCTCAAAGCTGTCTTATCTAAATACATAGCCTCTTACATAATAACTCTTGATTCTTACAACATCTTTACCATTTAAATCTATGTGAATAATGAAATAAAATAAAAGATATGTTGGAATGCTTGTACTGAGGTATGCTTCAACCGAGTTGTACTTATAAGCTCTCTAGGTTTCACATCATAGCTTTTCTTCCTCACTCATGAATGAAAACCACATTTTTCTTTTGTGATTGCTCCTTTGTCACAAAGTCTGTGAACATTCAGTCCCACAGCCTGTGTCCCTCGCAACAAGATAACATTATTGAAAAAGAATTTAGAGCTTGTGTCAAGTCAGGGATTTCAGTAGCCGTGTTTTGGTGGCGTTGTAGCCGCCACGGACTCCTTGGCCTGACCCCTTCCGGCCATGTCGCCTTTTCTTGAGGTTATGTATGCGCCTCGACACTAGGGACCCGTTGCTACCGGTTGTTACGCGCCTTGCTCATGGCCGGCTCTCTGCTCGGGTCTTTCTTTTTAGTTGCAGACTTGGTATTGTTGAGAGCTCGGCCAGCGTCTCGGTATAAATACCCTTCAGCTTTCCCCAATCGGAATGTCCAGGCAGAGCACTTCTCATCCTCTCACTTTCATTGGCTCTCCTGTTCATAGTTCCATAGACAATTTTCCACTTCATCGTATCTTCACTTTCAGACTTTACAGTTTCGACATTCATCTTGACCTCTCAAAGCATACCCGACATCTCATTTGCACCCATTTTACTAGTTAACCATGCAGCTCCCCAGCGCCCTTACGCTCACGACCTTACTGTCCTCATTTGCCATGAGTGCACGCGCAGTTTACCCTCCTCCCAACGATTATATCATGAGCATGGGACAAGACTGGGCCAATGGCTATCTGTCGGTTTACAATTCCAAAGGGGAGGACGCATTCCGTTGGTTCAAGGATTACCATAAAATCAGAGGGTCCACACAAACCACCCTTGCGGACGGATCTTCCAGACCGTTGTTTTCACTTGACTCGGTGAGTGATAACTATCAATGAATTTCCTTTGGAAGCATCAATCATTAATATTAATAACCGCCATCCTCCTCCGACGATCCCCCCTTCTGCAGAGCACCGATTCTTGCCACTACAACAAACGCTTTTTACAGTACAAAGGCCAAGCATGGGCTGAACGGGATTATCGGCTTCAACTCAGAGACTCCAAAGCTGACATGTGGCACTTCAACTACCCCGACAAATCTGGTATCCGAAGATACTACAGATTCAACAAGAACTCTTCCAACATGGGCGGTCGGATTTATAGGGTGGCCCGGGGACAAAAGGATGTGTTAGAAGGATTATTGAGAAGTGAGTCCCTTGCAGCCTCTCCTTTCATCGTGCTACCAATCCAGGTAAAAAAAAAAGAAAAAGAACGAAAAAAGAAAGGATATCTGACTTTTGTTTGGTCGGAGCAGCCAATGTACGCTACGATAAATGGTGGAACGACCCCAAAGGCCGGAACACGTTTACCCTCTCAATTGTTGATGAGGCACCAGTGGTAAGTGACCCAGAACAAAGCTCCCAAGTGTACTCAAAATACAGCCTCCTGATTGCGCTCTTTTTCAACAGCCCGAAATGGTGATGTTGATGGCTTTAGTACTCGAACACTCCATTTCATGCAGAGGGATGCAGAATTGAACCCTCTTTATGTGCCTCTTGCTCCTTCCTTCCCCAGTTCCCATGCCACTCACCTCCTTGTGAAGTACTAGATGTACGGACACATCGTACACTTTTCTCTCCCAGTTGACTTTATGTCCATTTGCTTTAAAAGACATTTTTTGTAGTAGCGTTTATGATACATTATTTGTGCTGATCTAAGCAATCCCAGATGGATTGTAACATAGTGTCTCAAGTCGCATATGTAGAGCAGAGAGCGGCGATTTCCGCTGTTGGCACACAAAACAAAGAAGATTCGTCGAGTTGTATCCAGCTAAATGTGTTCTCTCCTGTTCTGAGGAGTTGTGCAAAGAGGGCTCTTGGTCTGGACTCTGGATGCGATCTTGTGTGGGTGTGGAGGGGGGGGGGGGGTTATCATCATTTATGTTTCTCGCTGGCTGAACCATAGGGGAATAAACAGACAATTGCAACTGCATTCAATTTCAGGAGTCTTCAGAACCAATTATCAGCTAGTGTCCGAAACACCAGGAAGTCCGTCCAAGATAATTCTCACCCCCGCCACAATAGTCACAAGTAAATTATATACATACACATATAGATATGTATTTCAGCACTATGGAAAGACCTGCGAGAAAAGAAAACAAAGAGAACCCAATAACATGCCAACTTCTTGAGATTTTTTTATTGAAGCAACACAAACAGGTCTATGAATTCTATCCAGATGTCACTATATACGCCGAATTTGATTGTATACAAAGAAGGTATATATATAGCTCAACATATCTATTTGTATCTATAAACATGCGGTTTTTTTAGAACAAAAAAAGGTATCAATCTAAGGTATATAAATATGTGAGTTTATGTCGACACATGTCCAGCTTATGATATGCCATCCATCCCATTCCTTATCGTTATTATTATGATGATTTTGAGTTTGTATAGTTCAGAGTAAATTTATCTGATGATGCAAGGCAATGAGTACCTTTTTTTGATAAACTAATTCGGACGCGTATCCTCATCCATTTGAATGAAAGGCACTGTTATCAAGGTAGCAACAAAAAAAAAAGAAAGAAAAGAGGTCAGTTGAGAAAGCTTTGCTTGAAAAAGAAACGCAAGTTTTGCGTCGCCTTTTTCACAAAAGTGAATCTTAACAAATTACGAGAGAAACAAAAAGACGAACGAGAGTTGATTTGTTGCTTGAGATTTGACGGAGAACGATGTGAATTCCTGGGATGCTGGAGATTACGAACCGGGACAGGAGAGATCGGTTTGTGGATCCCGACGAGATTATCGCGAAGGACATCCCATTGATCGCCGATCCAAGGACCAGATAGTCTACTGGGAGCTCTATCTCTATGAAGTCGTTGGAGGGATCCGGAGGAGGTGGAGGATGAAGAAGAAGAGGAAGAAGTCCGGTGGATGCCTATCTTGCAGAAGTTCTTGAAGTCATATGATTGCGATCGACGGTTGCGATCGACTTCGGAGAAGCTCGGCGAGGCTGGTAGGGGGAACTCCCGCGGAGTCGGTGGCGGTAAGGGCTTTTCCCACGGGCTTTCGGGAGGCAGAGGAATCTGTCGTGGGGTCTTATTTTGCTGTGGATCTGGCTGGAATCGCTCACGCGGTCGGACAGACAAGTCTTCCTGTAAAGCAGGATGTTGATTGTCAGATGAGGATCTACTTTGAGATCTTCTTGCTTGGGTTGGTGGAGATGATTGATAGGACTCGAATGCTGGGGAGGAGTAATTGAAAGTTTGTGGAGAGACAGGAAAGCTGCCAAGTGGATTGGTTGGCGAAGTTGTATCAGAGGGTGACTGGATGATCACTTTAGGAGTGATCGGATGGAAAGCTGCGACAGGTGATGGCATACTAAAAGGCTCGGAAGAGGTACAGAAGGTCCGATCAACTGAATCCTCCGAAGGCTTCTGGCCAGCCGATTGATCCTGTAAAGCAGGACGTTGCAAGTCAACAGGCGGTGATCTTGTGGGGGAAGAAGGAGGTTGATTGGCAGAAGGAAAGAATTGATGGGAAGTTGAGATGGGTGATGAAATACCAAAAGGTTGCGAAGAGGTAGAGAGAGGTGTATCGTCTGGATTGGTGGGCGAAGTGGTATCAGAAGGAGATTGGAAGGGTATTTTAGCCGTTACGCCAGCCGATCTGGGGTGATGGGAAGAAGTGGATTGTTTGGTGGGGGAGGAAGATGTTGTGGCGACTGGTGATGAGTTCCCAAAATTGTTCGGCGTGGCAGAGAAGGTATGGTCGTCTGGATTGGTGGGCGAAGTGGTATCAGAAGGCGATTGGAGCGTGACTTTAGGAATCGTAAATCTAGGAGGGGCTGGTAAGGTGTGAGGGCGTTCGCTGGAGACATCTTCTAGGGCGTTTATGTGCCTTTCCTCTTCAAGCACTCTAGGCGAATAGAGGTCACGAGGTCGATGGGAAGGAGAATGAGTGGCTTCGTTGTGAGAAATGTGTGGATTGGGGCGATGGGAAGGAGAATGAGTCGGTTCATGATGAGAATCATGTAGATTGGGATTTGAGTGGGAAGCTGAGGAGTGCGGTTGCCCAGTAGCACTAGAGCCAATTGATGTCTGCACTTCCCTGTCTACCTTGGCGGGGCCTTGAGGCTCGTCGTGCTTGGAGGAGAGAGGAGAATGAAAATTGTCTGGGGGATGATGGGGCTTAGGTGAGGCTTGCACCGACTCGGAGTGATCGAACGGTTCACTCTTACTTGAACCTGGGGTTTGAGCTACGTGCGGGTCATGATGAGCTGTTGAGGGTTTATGGGTCGTCGAATCCAGTGGATCGGCAGTACACAATTGTCTGGGAGTATGATGTGCAGGTGGATTACAGTCGTCCAATCCAGCCGTTCCTCCAGGTGAACGATTGTTGCGGATGACAGCTGTGAGCGAGTAAAATAAAAAAGGAGGAATCGCGATCACCGTCAAGATATTATAAAACAGGCATGAAGTAGATCAAAACTGACCGATGCCCTGGGCCGAAAAGTTGAAACCGGAAGCCTTTACAAAAACCGGATCTCGGAGACGTATATCTTCGAGAGAGTCAGCGCCCATCTAAGATAAATCAAAGCCAATTTGGTCAAGTCTAGTGGCCTATGCAAAACCATCCATCAAATGGGCCTATCAGTCTGCTTAAATTAAAAAAAAAGACAAGCTTACGCCCTTAGCAATGAGAGACAGACTGTGTCGAACCAGCTGGTCGCCGTGCATTTTGAACCGACGCCCCCTGGGATGGTTCTCCAAATAGTCAATTGGAGAAGGGTGCCCGACCTGAAGCATGATGGAGGTTTCTATTTCTTTAAAGACTACATTCTGGTGCCCCGCTAATTTATCCAGGGAAGCTGGTGCTACGATGGAGTCGAACTCGCTAATAGTTTCAGAGGGGGCTATCGAGGCCGTCTCGGTCGAATTGAACCTTTGGTGATGATAGGAAGTGGCTTGGCGATGGCTAGCAGCATGTGGCATAGAGGTCTTTCGTCTTCGAGTCGGGTTTGAGAAAGTCTGCTTGGTCATGAAATATGCTGCAGCTTCAGCGGCCCTCTTCTTGGCTGCAAGGGTCTGATCCACAGCTTGGTCAGACGGGTGAGACGGAGGTCCTACTGTATAGTGCTCCTCTGGAATGGATCTTTCAGAATCTTCCGTGGGGTGGGCTTGTGCTTTCTCTTTCGCCTTATTGAAAGCTGCTAGGGCCGCGGCTATCTCCGCATCTTCCGCCCTTCTTGTATCTCGTTCTCTTCTTTCGAGTTCAGCTTTGACACGCGCAAGATTCTCAAGTCGGTTACTGTCAAGAGGTTGTTGACTTGAGGTTGAGCTGTTAGCTACAGGTCCGGCTTGAGACCCACGATCTGCCGCTGTCATCGAATAATCGAGCTGGGCAGACTTGGCAGATCGTGTGAGTCTTGTGTCCATGTTGGGCAGTTCATCCCGTCTACCAACCGAGTGCGGCCTCCGCTGGCTGGATGGGTTTTCGTTGTGAGATGCTCGTACGGCTGGAGATCTATGACCTGGTATGTGGATGGAATTATCAAGATCGACAGGTTGGGGGGAGCCGGTGAGTCCCTGGGTGCCATGATGAGAACGTTGAGATTTACGATCTGGTGATTGATTGTGATGATCGTGATGGGAAGATTGGGCGGAATGGGTGGATCTTTCGTCCCTATGAGGCAGTTGATCACGCCTATCGATTGGAGTCTGTCTAGAGCGATGGTGCGAGTTATTTGAGTGCTCGTTGAGAGCAGACTGGGCAGGTTGCGGTGATCTATGGTTAGAGTAGTGATGATCGGGATTGTTATCAGATCTTGCAGAGTGAGATGGCCCTGGATCGATGACTGGGAATTCATCTCGTCTGTCGACTGGACCATCTGGTCGTCCCCGATTAGCCGCTTGTCGCTGGTGCTCTTCCCAGAGCCGTTCTGCTTCCCTCTGCTGTGCCAACTCCAACTCCTGCAACCTGATCTGTTCCCTCTCTCGCCACTTTTGATCGGCGCGAGCAGCTTTCCGGACTTTCTCAGGCACCAGATGAGGCGACCTCGGGGTGGGCGGAAAAGATGGAAGCTCATATCCGCAAAGTATGGGCGACGAGTAAACGCCTGCATACGAGACTGGACTGATGCTCCGGATCACCGATGGCTGGACCATTGCAAGCAGTTCCGCCCTCTTTCGGCTTTGACTGCATCGGATGTTTTGCATCGCAAGCTCCCTTCTATAGCCCAGAGAGAACCAAAGTATAAAAAAATCAACGATTTGACATACGTATGCGAGATTTGAGTTTGACTTACTGTAAGAGCTGTTCCCTCATCGTCAGCTTTGCATTTTGTTCGGCGGTCTATGAACAAAGTGCGAAAACGTGAAGAGATAGAGAGGAGTCAATATAAATCATCAACAGATTCGCAGATGGAAGGGGAGGGGTCTTTTTGTTTTGGAGCTGACCCGTTCGGCGAAAGATTGAGCCTCGAGTTGAGCGCGGATTTTAGCCTCGTTCTCCTGCTTTTCTTTTTCGTCGATCCTGAGACGTTCCATCTGTTCCATCATTTCAGCCTCTTGCTCTCTACGTGCCCGTTCCTTGGATTCCTCCTCCTCCCTACGTTTCAGTTCCCTGAGTTCCTCCTCCTCCCTACGTTTCAGTTCCCTGAGTTCCTCTTCCTCTCTACGCTTTTGTTGTCTGAATTCCTCCTCTACCTCCTGCCTGGCCTGTTTCTCGAGCTTTCGCATCTCTTCTTCATATCTCTTGCGGGTCAGTTCTTCCTTTTCGAGAGAATCTCTCCGGATCGCTTCTATCGCTCGCAGACGTTCTTGTTCGGCCTGTTCTTTTAATTCTTGTGTCGTTCGTTCGGCCTCCTGTTGCTTTATTCTGTCTTCTTCATCCTTTTTCTGTCTTTCCTCTTGGAGCATCTGTATCAGCTGTTCTTCTCTCAGCCTGACCTCCTTCTCCCTGAGGTCTAGTAATTCTTGAGCCTTCCGAATCTCTTCTAGCTTTATTCGATTTTCTTCGAGCTGTTCCCGATTCTGTTGGAGTTTGAGATCGGTATCTGAATGATGTAATTCGGGGAGCTCGATCAACGGATTCTTTCGTTTAGCTTCTTCTACTCTCTGAAGGGCAGCTTGATGTTCAGCCTCTGCGATTCTCAGCCGTTCTCTTCCGATATCACTAAGTCCACAGGAAGAAGCATAATCGCGATTTTGAGGGGGATGATGGGCAGATTGTGATGCTGAATCTTGTGGATGGACTGATGGGATATCTTGATGATGAGAAGAATCGATTTGAGGATGGTCGTGATAGGATTGAGAATGCGGGTGGTTTGGATCTGGGTAGTCTTGTTGTTCAGCATTGGGGGTCTGTCTATTATATTCAGATGGATATGAGCCTGTTGGCAGGTGAGTATCGTTGAGTGACTGTGAGTATGGATGTTCTTGATAGTTTTGAGAATGTGATGAAGTGGGTTGATGGGGTTCAGTAGGATGGTTGAATTGATCTTGTTGGTAGTTGTTGTTTGCTGGAGTGTATGGTTGATCGGTCTGAGTCTGAGTCTGAGTCTGAGTATGAGTTTGTTCTTGTTCTGCTGCTTCTGGTGGTGGTGGTGCTGGTTGGTCGTCAGTAGTAGTTTGTTGGTTGGTGGTCGAGATTGGGATGTTGAGTGTGACTGATCGATTTCTGAGATGGTCCCTTGGTGGTGGTCTCCATGTTCTTGCGCCCACCTGGAGATGTTTCTTTGAGATTTTCCTGAGTAGTAGTACCATCTTCTTCTTTTTCTTGCTACTTTGTTCGTTCGGGAGAGATTCAAAGGAGAATGAGTGTTTGTTTGAATGAGAGAGCAGAATTTGGTTGTCCGCTTGACCATGAAGACTGCTGCTGTACAATGTATGCATCACCAGCATTCACAGCCCAACTCAACCCATCCCACCGAAACCTTAAAACCTAGAAAATCTTGGCGGGGTCTCCTGACATGCCTCACATCGCGACGTCACCCGATCAGTGATCGGACGACGTCTGCATGCATGTCCGAGACATCCGAGCAGGGGTCGGGGAGACACTCGAAGCATCCGGGGACGGGATGACCCGACTGACTTGGAGTGTCCCCCTCTGACCACCACCACTAAAAACCATCCAACACCAAATTCCAACAAGATGGCCAACGCTCGACTTGGCGGATCCAAACGGACACTAATTGCGACGATAGGAGATGAGGTTAGCAATCCAGTGTCATCGCCATCAATTCAAGCCGAATAACCAGATATACTATTTATATGTGTCTGTAGGACTCCATCACCGGTTTGTTGTTGGCCGGAACGGTGAGTAAACGTGCCCCGATAACCACATCCTTCACTTAAAAAAGAGATCAAACTGATCCCCTCTTCTTACATACATACATACAGGGCCATGTTACTGCCGCTTCCAAGAAAAACTTCATGGTCGTTGACTCGAGTCAGTATTTAACAACCTTCAACATTCTCAGCTTCATTCATCAGGATTTTAAGGGGAGCGTGCTGAGAAGCGAACGTGGTACAGAAACTCCGGTATCAGAGATCCAGAAAGCATTCGATGAGTTCACTACTGAGCGAGACGATATTGCCATCGTCTTAATCAACCAACATGTCAGTCACTTCATACTTCCAGAATCAAGCTGTCCCCTATTGAATTCTCCCAGCTCACAGTGATCAAAACATATACTCTGTTCAGGTGGCCGATAAGATTCGTCCGTCTGTTGATAAATACGAGGCCGCATTTCCAGCACTACTCGAAATACCTTCCAAGGATCATCCCTACGGTAAGCGTTTTGTCTTTTTCAAGATCCATCATTCTCATAGATGTATACATTCAATCTGATGTCCTCCTCTCCTCTTTCTACACTTATCCCGCTCTCATACAGATCCCGAAAAAGATAGCGTCTTGAAACGAGTCAAGAAACTCTTCGGAGAATGATCACGAGCCATCCAGGTCTCTCGATTGTTTTTCCCTTTTCTCTCTCTCTCTTTCTTATTTTCTCGTTTGGTACAGTTATTATTTTTTTGTTGTGAAATAGATAAAAATGCCCCAGTTTGTAAAAACACTCACTTTTCTTCGACAGACATTGCTATTGGTTCGTTCAAAGATGGAAATTATGTCTTCTCCTTGATACGATGTTGGGTTCATCATTAGCCATCCTCAGATCAAAAGAAGAGGTAAAAATGGTGAGCGATCCATAGATTATTTAGCCGAGAGATTAAAAGAATCAGGAGGGTATTGAGACCATATTATGTAAACAAATGGATTCGTTCAGTATTGAGGCACCTACAGATCAATCCAAGTTGAGCGACAACTTCAAGGCTGTATGTAAACAAAAAAAGAGGGAGACAACAAATTTCAGTTGTAAAATGGTTGACCACCCAAATCTCATCTCAAGATGCAAGATTGATGATGATCAACTTGAGAGATACATGGTATTATTGATTTGAGACTGATGTGAATGTGTCCTCATTATTTACACGGGTGCCTCATTAGAAAATCTTAACAAGATGGTCTCTCAACTTATCCACGTCGAGCCTTTGAGGAGTGGCTTGAATGGTAGTGGTGCAACAAGAACCAAGGTTGTGGTGAGATGACTTGATGACATCTGGCCTGCGAATAAGTTTAGAGTGAAGGACTTGCAAGCTTGATGAACTGCAACCAGCCCGACATTCAAGCTCACTTTCAACCAGCAGGTCAAATAAATATGTCGGGAAATCAGACGCCGAATCCCAAGGATCCAGGAAGCTTCACTCGGAAGAGCTTGGTGGTCAGTTCAGGACACCGATACTGTCAGTACTTTGGATTCCAGAATATAGCCTATCAGCCGATCTAAACTAATAGGCGACACTCTTTTCAAATTACTAGCGTATATCGATCAATCCTTGAACGCCGACGCCCAAGTCGTCTTGCTATTACACGGCTTTGTAGGTCCTCCCTCTTTCTTCCGCTCATCTTTTCGGATTCGACTTGTTGACCTATCTGATTTATGTGTAGCCCGACTTGTAAAGTCCTCCACTCTTTTTCTTCTTCTTCCCTTTTCCCATTCTGAGATGGATTTTTTTTTATTGACCCTGTTATCCTTCCCCGTTTGGGTATAATAGGGCGTATGGCTGGAGATATCAGATTTGTGATCTCGTCAACCGCGGTTATCGGACCATCGCACCGGACTTATTGGGGTAAATTATTCATCATTTTCATTTAATCATCCGTACTAGAATTTTCTCAGTTTGAGAAAAATATCCTGCCTTCTTTTCCCCTTGAAATCTAGCTACGGTGGTACTGTAAGCTCTTCAATTCGATCTCCCAGAAATTCACGTACATGAATTATTTTCCAAACTGGGACTCACAATTTCGTTTCTAATATTGTGGTCTGGTCATCATGGATGACGACATTGCTCTTGACAGTCAAAGCCCACGGACCTAAAGGCATACTCTAAGCTCAACAGTTGTAAAGCGCTCTGCGAAATCCTCGACCACGAAAACATTCGGAAGAAGGTCATCCTCGTTGGACATGACTGGTTAGTGGCGGTTTGATGAGGACCGATTGATCCACTTTTCCCTCTCCTCCAAGGTTTCTTGACCGAAAAATCTGAGCTAACATTGTTTTTTGGGAATACGTTTGTAGGGGATCGGCACTGGCGTTCCGGTTCGTACAACACTTTCCCGAGAAAGTCAAATGCTGGGTAACGTGTGTCGGAAGGACTTTTTGTATGGCTTGACTCTGCTCTAGACCGCCCATCCTGCTCATCATCAAAAAGAGTCCGCAACTTTTTGGAGGATTCGAAATAACTGATCACTGCTCCATCAATCCATAGAATATGCGTCCCACCTGCTCGGCCTGGACAGCGCGGAGAGGCACCTCCAGATTTCGAGAAAATCATCAAACAGCGTCTCCCACATCTAGGGTAAGAATTTTACTTTTTGATTGGTTATGAATGTCTATCAGACACTTGAAACTAAATAAAGCGGGGGAAATCTTTAGTTATCAACTTTACTTCATGTCTCCAGAGTTCAGCGAAGAGATCCATCGCTATCGCAGGACGATCATTCTGTTGTTATACTTGCACACCGATCGCGGTCTCGAAAATCTCATCCAGGAGAGGTTCGCAAGGTTGAAAGATCACTCGTTCGTTGGCGAGAATGTGCTCAGAAAGCAAGTCCGAGAGGCTGCACCCCAGCTCGAAAAGATTGAGGTTAAGGATCCAGTTAGCTCAACCACATCGTCCACCTTGGATATATTCCTCCATCATTTCTCATTTTTTGTTAATCTATTTGAATACTCATAATTTTACCGGAAACTTGAACAACATTTTGAATACTAGGAAATCAGATACTTTTTGTCTGAGTTTGAGAAAGGTGGTTTGCTGGGCCCTTTAAGTTGGTACAAAGTAAATAAGATTCATCCTAGAAAATGGTGACAAGGGAAGGAAACTAATGCGCGCCGTACATCTTCAGACTCGAGACATAGATCACTCGGATGAACAAGGCAAGTCCTTCCTCAGTTGATTGAATATGGTCGCTCTGCTATAGCCCACACACCCATCTTGATACCTGAACTGCATCACGCGACCAGCGGCCTCTCTTCCGGCCTCGTATCCCGCCGAGATCCCGTGTCTCTATCTAGGCGCGTCTGATGACCCAGCCTTTCCACCGCCACTGTTCACTGAGAAATCCAAAGCCAAGCTGTTTCCCGGTGCCAATTTGACCTCACATATCATTCGAGGTGGTAACCATTTCATGCATCAGGTAAGTCATTCATACATAAATCTGAACAACAAAAAGAAAAAGAAACTATTCGTCGAGCAGTCGTTTCGATGTGCTTCATAGGATCCTGTGTATCGCGATCAAGTCACTGAGGTTATCGGAAATTGGATCGATAATCAACTTACGACGGCTCAAAATAGGCCGAGTCGTCTATGATCCATTATAATATATACATAAATCCCTCTTCATGGAGGGTCTCTCTCAAATGTGTCTCAGTCCACTGAGATCCCACTCCCCCCAATGACTATGTTATTTCCTTACTTGCTCATCCCAACCCATTAATTTGTCTTCTTTTAGTTTATTTCAGTTGTCCTTATTTATATAAACATTTTGTTCTTCAGAATAGTAAGACTGTCACATATAATGATAATTGAGGACTTAAGTTAATCATTAAAATGTACAACAAAGATTCAAAGATAAAACTTAACATAACTTATCATTGTGAAGAGGAAAAAAAAATAAGAATTGGTATGAAGTGTGAAAAATGGTGATCAGGAATCAACAACTTACATACTTTAGTCAGACCACTCAGACTGGTCAGACAAAGAAGTCAGAGAGGAATCGTCGCTACCGGTTGGCGGTTGTTGACTAAACGATGAGACGTCCGGATCGATGGCGATCAACTTTTGCAACGCGGAGACCGGCACTCGCCCTCCCTGTCATTCCTCACTTCAAGTTCCGGGAGATGGATTGGGGTTTTTTTTTTTTTTTTTTTTTTTTTTTAGTGCTGATTGTTTTGACATTGCGCACTATAAGTAATACATTCTATGTAGATACACGCGATGATGTTTTTGAACAATTATTTGAGAATACAACATAATAAAATAATTAGTAGTATTTTAATCTTCTGAGTTTGGATTGGGGTGACGTTAGACGTTGTATAGAGCACCACACCTGATGAAACAAAACCCTTAGATTGAGAACCTATTGAAAATCGGCCAGATAATGCATAATAATTGCGTGGATTTTGGAATGAACTCCCATGTACATAGTTCTCAGTGGAGTGCAAGAGGTCAATTAACATAGCAGTGCGTGCATTTGGCCTGTGCCTGCGCTTGCCTGGGCCGTTCGCACATCTTCCGCTATAGCCTCGCCCCGAAGATCTCCGAAGGTGATCCAAAAGTCCATAAAGATTCACTTTTATCTCATGCCTTCAAGATACTCGAAATCGAACCTCTTAACGATTGAACACTGATGCACGGGTATATCCGCCAGGCTTCAAGGCCTACATCTTGTCAAGTTAATTGGTCAATTATCTCTGGGATGACTTCTCGGCTTGGTTTGTTAACTTGACTACTGACACTCTGATGTACGGGCATATCCGTCAACCTACATGGTCTACATAAGTAGTGACTGTGTACGTGTCGCTTTGCTGGTTCATTCTGTTTAGGATGTGGGATCGGATGCCTTTGTTTTGCTTGTTGGCTTGAATGGCAGTATACGGAAAAGGACGTCTCACTAGGAATTTTCCAATACATCCTTATGGTGACGAGTAGGAAAACGAATGGATAAACTTGTACTTCAAATGAGGACAACCACCACGTACGATCATCCAAATTCTGGATCTCATCCGATGCGACGGGCGACTGCTTGTTTCCAATCCAAACTGGGCAGTCAAACTGGCTGAGCATACGGCCTCAATTCAAAAGAGATATCCTTGTTGGAGGAGAACGCTCTCCTCCAGGGTCAAACGTTTCGTTCGCAACTACGCCAAAGATGTGATGGTCAAGAAAATGGCATTCAAGTAAATGTTACCAGCAATAAAAGCGCTTGTCTGGCCATCTGTGAGCAGACTGGACCATCATCAAGATAATGATATTGACAATGTTGCTACGCGCTATCACCGTCCTTTTTTTTGTAGAAACGGATAATAACTGCCCCCTTCGCGTAAGACATGACCGGCGCGTCGGGAAGGGCTGTTTCTCACTCGGATCGTCTGGGCCTGGCCTGGTGGCCGGAGGACGAGCAGATAGTTCCAGCTTGTGTATGGCGCCAACGGGGGATGTCGGGCTGTAGCTCCATCTACCTACTTCTGCGCTGGGCCTCGTTACAAATATCGACCTAATTCTAACCGGTGGCCATTGATCTTTGATAAAACGGAGTTTCTCGAGAACTCTCATATTCCCAAGCCGGATCATCCAATGATGCCTAGGGTGTTTTCGTAATGCGAAGCTGGAAACAGTAGTAAGGTTGTTTTCCCCGGTAGACAATTTTTGGACTGCGAAATCTTTGCTGAACTACAGGATATATTCCTAGGTTGACCCAGTTTCGAGAAGATTTAGCGACGACAAAAGGTAATGACAGCTGGTAGCAAGCGCAAAGGACTACTTGGGATTGCCGGTTAGCAGTGCTAGATGATACGCTGAAGGATTCAGATTCGTACTTGTAGAGAAACATCGCTTTCGTGGATCTCTTGGGGGAACTGAGCATCACTAGGAATGGTGGATAGACCCAAACAAGGTGCGGATTGTATTTCTGGAATTTGAAAATTGTGAGGCTTCTAACATTTCGACCGGCTGATTGTTCCCACGTTGTACCTACACAGGGCTTGGTCGGCTATAAAGTATCCTCTTGATGTAAAGCGGCTTGCAAACTTGGACACCGGGAAAACGCCGGAAGGAGTTGAATCAGCCTGGCTCTCCTCCAGCTCAGTCGCGTTTGCCGATGGTAATAAATGAAAACAGGCCCAAGTTCGCGGAGCATGGTTCGTGAAGAGTGGAGCTTATAAACCGTTTCAGGCACTCGAATTCTGTGGGCTAGTCTTGACCTATCAACCGAGGAGTGTGTTCAGACACGATCGCTTGGCCATCGCACAGCGAATTCTGGACTCTCAACTACTCAGTGGCTGGCTCAGTCATGGCGAGGCGCCCCAGGATAGACAATGGCAAAACAAATTGCAACATACTGAGGCCCAGAACCAGATCATAGATGCACCTCAAGCATAGCCCCCCTATTGCCTCGTGACATGCCTCTGAACCATGTGTTCCTCCCCTTGTTGTTTTTTTTTATTATTATTAAAAGCAACCAGCATTTCACACTATACTGATTTCCTTGACAGTCTGGCCGACGAGTGTGTTCGGAAAAGCATCGCTGCGTCGTCAACGAGCCACTGCCTGTCATGATTTCAAGGACAAATTGTAACCAGGATTTCGGCGGCCTATTTGCGATTCCTCTGGAACAACCCATGTTGCACTCCACCAAGCGTGTCTGCTGGTGGCTCTTGTGTTACATGGCCTTGCATTTTTAGCCCATTCACGCAATGTTTGGTACACGTAATAATTTTCATAGGACTAAAATGTCACGAAGGATTCGCCCAGAAGAAACCTCGGAGTCTTTTAAAATTAGCGAGTAGAGGTTTTACTCTTAGTGCGAATAAGTGCAATGAGACGGCAGTCTTACCTAAGAATAAGCCGCCCCAACAAAGGAAGAGCCTGATGAAAAATGCTTATAGAGGGTTGATCAGACAAAATGAGATGATTAGGCGATCATATGCATTGTCGTGAGTAATCCTCAAGAGTGTCACCCGCTTTAAAGGAAGGACGGCTCCAATTGCCATCACATATTCCCTACAAATTACGCGATTCTCAACACAAAAAATCCGCACTCCATCCTTGCCATAGCCACTGAGCTCAAATTTATCACCAAATCCCCACCCTTCTCTTCCAGTCTAAACACTCAAGAATCTCCTTATTCCTCCCCTCATTACAATGGAAAACTCTTCTTCGCTGCCCACCGCCGGCCCCTGCCCGTGGCCATCTATGACGCCAGAGGAGTGGGAACAGCTTTATCGCGAGCTAGCAATGCCCCTTGAAGAAGCCCTTAAAATGATCGCGAATATGGGCAGACAGTCCAACGAAGGGCTTTTGGTCGAGAATGATCGGGCAGATCTATCAATTTCCGACGAGCAGATCATGGTCCGAGCTGAGAATAGCCACGACACCGCCCACAGCAACGACAACAACGCAGGCAGCAAGAAGTTCGCGTGCGATGAGCCGAAATGCCGGTATTCGGCCGACTGGATGTTTAACTTGAACAGGCACAAAAGGAGACACTTGCCAAAAGAGGCCAAAGAAACATTCAAAGGTAAGCTCTACCTTGCCAGATCAATCCTGTACTGGCCAAAAGCGAATACACATTGACTTTGCCTTTCCAGTCCCTTGCACCTGGGAAGGTTGCGAGCTCACTTTTTACCAGCAATCCGACATGGAAGGCCATATCGAAAAAGTTCATAGGAAGCTGGAACCGGAGGGCCCCATCCGCCGCCAAGCTTCCACTCCCAACAACGCACGAAGTAAGTACCCCCGTGTATTTCCGACTCATCCATCACAAAAGTAGTTTCCTTTTCTGATGGCGGTTTCGATAATCAACACTAATTCCTCATGCACTACTAGTTGAATGCCCAGTGGCAAATTGCCCCAAGACCTACCAGTCACATGGCCATTTTCTACGCCACCTAAGAGAAAAGCACAACATTACGGTGTAATTCTAGCTTTCCTTATTTCCCAGTAGTATTATCCCACTGGAGAAGTCTATTTTATTTCATGAACAGTCCCCAAAAATGTACAAACTACCAGTCCCTTTTCTTTTGCTCTCCAAAAAATCATCCGCCGAATTTCTATTGCCCATCCGTCTGTTTTATTATTATTGATTTGATGTAGTATGATCCACACATACCCCACTGGATCAATCTATACTGCTGTGAAATTAGTGGAATTGGAAACAAGTTTATCTGTTATAGGAATTAAAACCATATTTGAATCAAACACCTTTCCGATGACATGATGATGCGTGGCCCACAAAAAAAGTGTTCAGAGAGAGAGGCATTCCGCCTCCAGAGCCCCCGAGCGAGTGGGACTGACGGGTGGCCATGGGTAATCCAAGTGGGATGGATAAATGGATTGGGATTCGAATCATAGTAAGAGATCAATGGAGATACAACCTCGTTCAGGGCGAGTTCAAGCAGGACAAATCAATCATTGGCAACAAACAACGAAATAACTGTCATCCTGCCCCCTTCCCACAGCGTTGCCTTCAATTATCACCGTTCCAGAATCAAACAAGTATCTGAGTCATCTTTCCCGGACCATGAGGCTAGAGAAACCCTTTTCCATGTACTCCGTTTTTGCCCAGCATACAAAGGCACAGACACTACTCGTTCGACGCGCTCGATTTCCTCCCAAATCATTTGCAACCCAAAAAATCTCTACAGTCCGATTCATTTTCCTCATTCTCGGTTCCATTTTTCTTCTGGCTTGTTTTCAATTCAGAGCTACAAGCTGAAAGATCAATAAACATATGGATTGGTTTTCTCCTTTTTTCCATTTATACTTTTTTCTATCGTTCTGTTTTCCCTTTTTCTTTTATTATTCCTTTTACTTTTCATAGCATACATGCTTTCACTTCCCCATCACATCAATATTTGTCGCTGAGGCATCAAAAATGTCAGGAGTGATATCTGACTACATCTTTACTTTGAAAATTTGTAGGTTTCAAGCTCATTATGCAAATTCAGCTAAACAAACCCACTGATGCCCCCGACTTGGAATGCGTCGCGTACATTTACATCGATACGATAGCAAGTTCAACCGTTTGATTCAAATTTCAACAGGATAGTTAGATAAGCCAGGGCGAATAGATTATATTGAACTGTGCTGGTGTTTGCCTTCAGTGTGGAAAGACAGGGGATTTGCTGTAGCCATTAGTGGCGTTTGGTAGGCCGAGCAACAGCCCGGCGAATTTGGACGGAGTTCGACCGAGCGCGCATCAATTTTCTTTAATAAGGTCGAATTCGCGCCGTTTCTGTCGGAGGACCGAGCGTTCTTCATAGGGGTCAACTACATAGCGTGTCCTGGGTGAGCAGGATAGATCAGGAACAAGTAGAAATATCAAACGGTTTGTTCTTGAGATCTCTACTCTAGACTCTCCCCATTTCTCCCTTCTGAGTCATTCATTAACAGTCTTTGCTGACCGGAACCGCCAATCAAGCGGACTGAGAGTTAACTTGAACTTTTTGCCGAAATATGTCTTCGAAATGTGAAACTGGTCACACGCATACAATCAAGTAGATGTTAAGATTCTCAAATTTCTGAATGCAAGGGGCCACAAGAAGGAAGACAAGGATAAACTTGAAGTTGTGCCGTTGACTTGTATGTGAGATCAGGGTCAGTATTTTAAGGTAGAATCCGAAGTGGGGCTTTTAAGCAAGAGATATTGATGACCTGGAATAGCGACTCTCGGCGACACCGACAGGACAACTTAAGTAAAGAACCTGCAATATTGCAGATTTTTGTGGATTGGGTTTTGGTTTGGGGATAGGGATGGAGGACAAAGAAAATGAATGGAATATAAATCAGTCCTTTCTCCACTTTTTGGATAAACGTGTGAAGAGAAGACTGGTAGGTAGTGGTAATTGATTTTTGTTTTCAGGGGAGGGGGGGCAATATTGGTTAGGTTTAGACCGGTGATGTTCAGACTGGAGTGAAAATTGACATTTGCTATGTATTCATTATTCAAACAGGGTTTAGGACTTTTGAATAATTCAACACAACATTTCCCCTCAATTTGAATGTGCTATAGCAGAACATGGATTTAAACCAAGTTACAAATACATATTTATGTTCCAGCAGAATGTGTATTTACACTTAGTTACATACTTACTCATGTTTTTGTAAGGTGCAGAGTTGATTTGACATTGCACACTATGAATATGCATTATGTGGAAAACATTTTGACCATGGGATAAGCCCCACAGCATGGTCAAAAGGGAAAGAGGAGCTATAACTGCAGGCCTGGGCATTTCAACCAAACTACAGAGAAAAAAGTTTTGAAGAAAATAAAAGAAGAGAAAAGAATAAGAAAAAAGAAAAAAAGATAGGTATAGAACACAATATGAGGAGTCTACTTGTCGCTCTTCCCCCCATTGGTGCTGCTGTTGTTTCAGAATTGAGGGAGCCTGGATGTAGTGGTGAGAAAAGCTTCAGTTGCTTTGTAGGTGTCATGATTTTTCAGTAGGATTTTGGAAGTAATGATGTCAATGCCTTCTTGCTGGAGTAGTGCCCTGGCCATTTTCTTAGCCTTGTTGTACCTGTTGCAGGAAATAAGGTAATGATCAAATGTTTTGGGTACATTGCATTCATCACAGATGGGATAAGGTGCTCCCCTGAATTTGAACTGAAAAGGATTCATGTGTATGTGACTTGATTGGAGCTGATGGAGGCCAGGCCCTCCTCAGGGTGAGCAGAGCCATCAGTGAAGATAATCATGGTGTTCTGTACATCAATAGAGTTGAGGAAAGACATCATTGTAGACTTGGCCCCCAGATTAGGGAGCCTGTCTATTGCTAGGTTGATGGGTCTTTGAGTTCTCCATGGTAGTTTGTCCTTGAGGATGTGGTTAACAATTTCTAGTTTTTTCCAAGCCAAAAAAAGGTGGCTGAAATGTTCAGAATTGTATGCACTGGGCTTGGAAAAGGCTTTGCCTGCTACAACATCTTGGTTTGGATTTGCTGCTCTATTGTTATGGAGCATGCATAATTCTGGTCAGTTTGGTCAAATAGTAGTTAGTTTTACGGCTTTCTGATGTTGCTTTGAAGCTGAAGAAAGGCCTGTGCCTATACAGATACTTGTTTGGTGTGGATTTTAATGCCCCCAGAGCTAATCTGGCCACCAAGTTACCTACCAGGTTGTGTAGAGTTGCAACTTTTTGTTAGCTTTGGTAAACCAAACCTGCACCCCATACAGGACCCTGGGAAGTATTACAGCCAATATTAGGAGGCCTCTCTTCTGTTCCTTGATACCACAGTAGGAGAAACGGTGGGCTGCTACGCTACACTACATCACTATTTGACCACTACCTGTTAGCTTAGTTGTTTTTTTTTTGCTGGAAATTCTAGCATAACTTTTTTATGCCAAGAAAATTTCCAATAGCCAACAGTGTAACTGTAGGTGCAGCTAACATTAAGAATCACTAATCCCAAATTAAGCTACACTACACACTACACTTTGTAGCATAACTACCACTGCAGTGTAGTGTAACTTCCTGATAACCCAAATTGGTGTGTCATATGGGAATTGAGCCCATGACACAGAAGGTTAGCACTGGCATGTGGTCTGGCAGAAACTCTTAAGATCCTCCCTGACCACATGGCACAGCCCGCAAACAGGTGACAAAATCAATATTTTGTCGTGGTGACGTTTTTTGGAGCCTGACTGCACCAGTATCCGGAGTCACTGCAGGTGAGTTTCCATAAAAATGTCAGCGTGACAAAATCCAGGTTTCATCACCTGTTTGCGGGCTGTGTGACACTACAGGCAAATATCTGTTGTTGTGCCCTGCAGCGTCACCTGATGTTTCACAAGAAAATTTAGACTTGTGAGACCTGTGAAACCCAAGTCAGCAGTGACAATTGTTTCCCCTGAAACAACAGTTGCTCCCCCAAAGCAACAGTAGGCAATTCTGATCCTCACATCGTTGTCACCCACCACCTTAAGACTTCCAAACCATCACCGATTGACCTCATCCCATCAAAGCACCTCTCAAAACCAATCATGGAGTTTTGTGAATGCTCTGTCTGCCTTGAATTTCACATCCTTGGTGAAGATGGATAGCAAAGGCCTGGTTTCTATGTATCTTCCCAAAACATTGCCAAACATCAAAAAGCTGATTTTGACCAAGCACAGCCAGTCATTCCTGTGCCATCTCAGGAAGTATCTTTGTCAGCCTGCTACTAATCAGAGCCAGCCTGTACATAGCATTTTACATATAAATTAGAGATATTATTACTTACATATGTACAGTGGGTGGACCGTTATTTTTGACTGCTTGTTTTGGGTTCTACAGCTTCAAAGCACAAACTCCAAGTCACAAGACTTGGTGAATTGGTGCAGAATAGGTCCCAAAGAATGAATATGAAAAAATAAAAACAAAAAATAAAGTTTCAAAAATTGTGAAAAATAAAAAATAAAAATGTTTTTTTCCAAAAGCTTTGTTATTGATTTTGGGGGAGTGGGAGTGCTGAGAGAAAGAAAGAGTGGAACATGGGACGAATGATTATAAATGAAAAAAATTGGAACCAAAAAAGGTTTGGCCAGGTTGGTTGTCCAGATTGGAGCCAAAACAGTAAATTCTAGTGCTTTACTGCAATGTGGGCTGGTGAATGCCCCAATCAACAGCTCTTTGAAGCCATCTGGAAAGCAATTTTTCCAAAATTTTCATTCATAATCATTTTTCTAATATCCCAATCTTCCTTTCTCTCAGCACTCTCAATCCCCCAAAATGAATTTCAAAGCTTTTGAGAAAAATAAATTTTATTTTTTATTTTTCACAAATTTTGAAACTTTGTTTTTTGTTTTTATTTTTTCATATTCATTCTTTGGGACCTATTCTGCACCAATTCACCAATTCTTGTAACTTCAAGTTTGTGCTTCAAAGCTCTGGAATCCAAAACAAGCAGCCAAAAAGAACGGTCCACCCACTGTACATACA